GACGCAGGCCGCTACCAACTGGGCAACATGGAAAGCATTGCGGGAGGCCTATGTTCAGCAGTGGACGTCCTATGGCTGAGATGATGATGATTTTTTTAATCCACTACGGGCAAGCTCTGACCAGAGGATCAAATGTCGTCACTAGCAAGCGCGTTAAAAAAATAAATGAAGATTTTAGTTCTTTAAAGTTTCCGCTAGGGGCGCTGTACAATCCGTCATAAGTCACTTTTTACGCATTTTACATCGGAGACGTTTGACGTAAACTCTGTACCCCCAGTGAAAACGGAGTTAAGTCGAAAATGGTGATTTTTGGGAAATCGCATTTGAAGTTAAAAAAAATCCTGCTTCGTCGCTATTATAGATAACTTGGTGAAATATTTTTTAGGTGAAAGGTAATGTTAGATATAATTAGGCAGTGTGCCAGTTTGGGAAATATAGCATGTAGTTTTTTCGTAATTAAATAAAAACCCAGTTATATCGCCATGCACGGCAACTTTACATTCGTGTAAAGTGATGTAATGGGACATAAATCATTTTACACCACACCGAATTGACCACCCGCTAACAAGTGTAAAGTGATACATTTTACGCCATTTCTGTTGATATTTTTTTGTTTCTTTAATTTTAGAAAAAGTTGTAAAACAAACATTAGTAATTACACTATGAGGAATCATTATTTCAGGTTATTTAGGGTAAATCGTCCAAAAATTTCTACTTATATCAATATACACCAATTTTGTGATGAGAAAAAAAATGTGTAAACTGATCTAACTAACATAATAGCGATCTAAGTATCCTAATAATTATGTGTAAAGTGATATAAGTGGCGATTGTAAAGGAATAAGGCTAGAATTTTAGAGTGGATTCTAATTATTTACTCCTTAAATGTTTATTCTGATCTGAAACTACTATTTTATTAATTATTACACCATATACCATGAATGATATCGGCCTAAATCACATACATTATCTCCTATTTTAAAGTAAGTATTAGTTGAAGCAATTGGGTAATAAAGACCAGAAACAACAATGGTTTCACATCAACTAATTATGATCTAAGTAACTGATAACATTTTACACATGTACGAAACTTTTGTGGTTAATGGTATTAGTCTAATTGAATCATTATACACAAAATAAATAATCATTTGTCTTTTACTTTTTGTGCTATAAATTAAGTTACATTCTTTTTCACCAACCAACAATACATAGTTTTTTTTGTGTATATTAATATGAGTCATCTTATATTGTTAATCACAAATTCAATCTGAACAACTTCAATCGTGTAAAAAGTAGTAACACGAGTCGTACCTCTTGACACAATAAAAAATTGAAAGAAGCCTCCGGTACACTTTGTTAAAAGTAGACATGTATCAATATACACGAAAGAAAACTCAAAATTGGTTCACAAAGCCTTACTTGTATCATTTGGCACAAAATTATTTTCTTTTCTATACGTCGTAGAAACATACCGATTAGATACAAAAATAGCAAATTTTTCAGAGATTCACATTATGTTATAAAGTCAATTTTGATCTAAGTCGAGTTAGATCCCTTTTCACTGGGGGTACAGAACTCACACTACGCCCCAGGGGCGTCATCAGGATGGAAAATGGGTTTTTATTGTGGCGGTCAAGCTGTAGATTCTGGCTACACAAGAGTTGCAGCGGTGGTAACGAGAGGTGGGGATAGTCCCGTTCGGTTTAAAACCGGGAGCATCTTTAAATCAAAACAACGATGCATCGAAGTCATAACTTATTCTTTGAGTCATTAAAGAATAATAACGTATCTAGTAGTCAACCTTTTGTAATAAAACTGGGGCATACAGAACGCTAGCAATTCAAGTTACACTGTAGTTTCTTAAGTGTTGGTAATAGGAACTATATTGCAACAAAAATGCACAGTCTGATATGCTGGTAACTTACAATAGAAGAAAATATTGCCGTCATGGATTGAGAACATTTTTTATTAACTAGTTTTAATGTGGTTAAATAACTACCAACCGGGCAGCATGGAAAGCATTGGGGAGGCCTATGTTCAGCAATGGACGTCCTATGCTTGAGATGATGATGATGAATGTGGGTTGACGACGTCCTAAAGGTAGAAAGAAAAAGGCACAAAGGCGCTGGATGCAGGCCGCTACCAACCGGCCATTATGGAAATCATTGGTGGAGGCCTATGTTCAGCCGTGGACGTCCTGTGGCTGAGATGATGATGATGATGATGAATGCAGACATAGGTATACTAACTTAGCTTAGCTCTTGATCTGCAATAACCCTTCTAACTCATAGCCTTGTGGTTCTAGCAGAGTAGAATAAAACTACCTCTCTCTTCTCGTGGATGTCGTAAGAGGCGACTAAGGGACAAATATGCGAACATCAGGCCTCCCCAACCCGTCTGGCCAGCGTGGGGAGTGTAGGACAAATCCTCCATTTGTCTGGTAAATTAGAGGGTCGTGCTCCTGCAGTGGAGACTGAATGACCTGATGATGATGAGGTTAACTCCAGTGCTAAGAGAGAAGGACTCTGAAATCAAGAGGTTCTTTCGTTGATTTTTGCATGGAGCATAGAAAATTTAGAATCATATAAAGTTGGTAGCGGCCTGCGTCCAGCGCCTTCCTGCTACCTTTATGATGTCGTCGGTCCACCTTGTGGGTGGACGTCCCACACTGCGTTTTCCGGTACGTGGCCTCCACTCCAGAACCTTGCTGCCCCATCGGCCGTCAGTTCTGCGTACTATGTGCCCTGCCCATTGCCACTTCAGCTTGCTAATTCGTCGGGCTACCAACCGGGCGACATGGAAAGCTTTAGCCTATGTTCAGCGGTGGACGTCTTATGGCTGAGATGATGATGATGACGAAGATGCCACCTGTGGTCATAAGTGCCACCTGTGGTCTAAACTGAATAAATACTTTTGATTTTGATTTTGATTTTGATGATTATAAAGTTGATGTTTGTCCCCAGTTTGGGAATTGCATTGCAGAGATTGCATTTTTAAATAAACGGTATAAGAAAAAGACTAGTTCTATTATATTCTAGGAAATATTCATTGTTTTATAGGTAGTTATTAGTTATTGATTTTTCCACATAAATCTGAGTACCACCGTTTAAAACTTTATAATAACTCTTTTATTGATCGGACGCTATTTCAGTTGGTCAGGAATGAAAAACATTTCATACCTTTGATATTATTTTTCTGTTTAATTGTTAAAATTCTCATGCTAATATTACCCCAAACTAATTTAATGTACTCAGTCTACGTTTCGTTTGTTTGTTTCAGCCAAATGTCGTCCACTGCTGGACTAAGGCCTCCCCCAAGGATTTCCACTTGGTCTACATTTTTTTGCAATCATTTCAAAGCAAACATTTTCTAAGATTATACCTACATACCTAATCTAGTTTTAATCAACTGTATCCTTCATTTCTTGTTTCTTGAGATTATAGTTTGGTAAAAAGTTAATTAGTAAAGTTGGTAAAACAGTGACGTCATCGGCTTGTATCAAATCTGTGGGAGAGTCCAATTTTGACAGATCATCAAAAGTGAGTCAATAAATTGATTGGTGATGTCAAATACCACTATTTTTGTATCCTTGTCAAAATAAATACTTTAGGGTGAGCTCGACCAAACAAGAGTAAATATTAATCTCAGAATAAGTCGTCAGTTTTGTCATATTTCCCCTACTGAAACTGTCAATGTGCTAATTATACCAGGAGTTATTCTCGGATAAAAGTTTGGTCGAATCGGGTCTAAGGCCTGCTTCTTGACTTACTTGACTTATGGTCCTATGTCCCCTAGATGGGGCAGAGGGCGTCCACAACAGTCCTCCATCTCGTTCGGTCTTGAGCTTCTCGCTTGATCTCGCTCCAGGTTTTGCCGATCTTCCGATCTTCTTCGCCTCGTCAAGGCCTGCTTCTAGCACATCTTTTTTGACATTTCTTCATTTCAACCTAATGACGTCCACTGCTGGACAAAGGCCTCCCCCAAGGATTTCCACAAAAACCGGTCCTGCGCTGCCCGCATCCAGGTGCTTCCCGCGACCTTCACCAGATCGTCGGTTCACCCACAGTCTGCTAACTTTTCTGCCTCAACAGTCATAAGTTTTTGGCACTAATTAGTACAGGTCTAGCGCTTCTCAGTTAATGTCTGAAGTATGAGAGCGGCACGGGAGGGGTGACATTGACATTTATGACGTGACGGAGCATATTTTTATTTTTATCCACAACGAGGAAGCTCTTGCCCTGTATCTCACCTGATGGTAAGTGACGATCAGGCCGAAGTTGGAAGCGAGCTTCACCCGGAATCCTCAACCACGGAGGAACTGTCTATCTTACCTCTAACTGCCGGAACACAACAATGCTGTTAACATTGTTGTTATGGCGACAGACTTAGGTAAGATGGTGGTAGCTGGCCAGGCGGACTTAGAACAAGCCCTACCAGCAACCAAACCGAACAGAAAAATCTGCCCCCACTGGGAATCGAACCTGGGACTAGGGATATTCCGATACTAATAAATACGAGTAGGTACTCGATACTTTTGATTCGATACCAAGTATTTATTGTATCGAATCAATTTTGCGATACATAATCGGTATCGAAACAAAAATACTTGGTATCGAATCGAATCAGCAAAACAACCGAAAACAATAAAAAAACCGAGAACGCATCATACAGCTAATCAGCTTTAATCGGTTACCGAGTTACTAGAGCCCGAGCCGAAAGCGAGAGAAGGAGACACCCGCACCCGCCCGCAAATCATCTCGCCATTCCGCCATTGTGAAAGTGTTAAGTCACTATTTACAAGTAATTTTATTAATTGTAATCATCGAATTCATCGGTTTATTCCAATGTTATCATGGCATAAACCGATAAATAAATAGTTGTTTTCTTCTCAATTTTGTTTAAACTATTGTCCTTCAACGTTCATTGATAGCACCCTCAAAATAATAAAACTAAATAAAAGTTCCAAAAAGTATCGATATCTTTTTAGTCTTTGGCGCTTAAACATAAACAACGCATTTCGTTCGTCTGATAGATAATTTATTTAAATAATCGGTTTACGGAAGTGTTTCACATTGACACCTTTACTACGGTGGTGATAGTGATTCAGTGCATGGATTGTGACTATGAACACATCTTTAAAAAAGTGATAAACTTAAATAAAAGTAAAAAACTTTCGTGCTCAAGCAGTATTTCGCCGCCATTGCTATCGGAACTCGTCACGCAACGTATCATCAAGCGCAAGACACTTTCACGGTTGGGTACAGCGCGTTCGGGTCATAATCGCCTGCGCAGTACGCGTCTTGTGACTCAGCGTGTCCCGCACGTCGTATCGCCATAGATCGCACAAGCGCAGAAGGCGCTCACTATTTATATCAACAGTCCTGTCACTGAGAGGTGTTACGATGTTCTGCGCGGGGTGCAAGGGAAAACTGGATGTGGGCAAAGACTCATTGAAGTGCAATGCCTGTGAGTCCTACTACTGTTTGGAGTGCTTGAATTTGGGTGCGGGAAAAAAAGTGAGTGATCTTGGCTCCGAACAATTGTCTGCATTGAGATGCCCTTCCTGCACGAATGTATCCCGTAGGAGACGTGGGAATGAATCGCCGGGTATCCTCTCGCCCTCCATTAGTAAGCGCTCCCCGACTGCAGGAAACGTCTTGACAATCGAAAGCATTAGCGAACTTTTAGACCAAAAATTAGCACCGACCTCGGACGCAATGAAGAACTCACGTAGTATTTTAATAAAAGAAGTCAAAGGCTTAATTACCGCAGAAATGGGCAAGATGGTCAACGAACTGAAAGAAGAGTTCACCAAAACAACGGACTTCATTATGGAGGAGGTGAAAAGTTTAAAATCCACCATCGCTCAGAAGGACACCGTAATTAAATCATTACAGAGCGAGCAAACGGTGCTTAAGGACGAATTACACAAAATCCGGAACCGTGTCTCTGTAATGGAGAAATTGTCACGTGACCGCAACGTCGAGCTCCAGGCTGTTCCCGAGAACCGAAACGAAAACGTTGTATCAATGGTCAAATCCTTATGTGAAGCCATAGAACTACCTATCTCGGACTCCGACATACATGCGTGCCGCCGAGTTGCAAAAATGGATACAACATCAAAACGGCCACGAAATATTGTGGTCACTTTGACATCTCCACGCCTTCGTGATAGTCTGATCTCGGCCGCGCACCGCTATAATAAGGAGCATAGCGACAAAAAGTTGAACACCAACCACATTGGTATAAAGGATGTATGTCACCAAATATACGTCTCTGAACACCTGTCACCGGAATGTAAACAATTGTATGCTGCGGCCAGACGGTTAGCTAAAGACAAAGGTTATACCTACTGTTGGGTAAAGTACGGTCAGATCTATCTGCGCAAGAGTGATGAAGCTGGTGCTATACTAGTGAAATCTATTGATTTTTTAAACACATTAAAATAATCAAGCTTCAGTACATTTTATGTATTCATAATTACTGTTTTAATGTTGTTGTTTTTAAAAGAAGTAAAACATCATTAAATGTTCAGTTTTTTAGGTTTCAGTTTGTTATAGACGTAATTGTTTTATACAAAACTACTTCAGTTAAAGTTAAAATTAAAAATCAATTCAAGTTGTACTTTACTGTTATCTATTTGTTGAGGGTGTATAAGTTGGAATGTATTTCTACTCTCGTTTATGTAAAAGTAATGTTGCGATACAGTGTTTATTACAATAATAATATGGTAAATGTAAATGAATTCATGATTTACACACACATTTTCTATTATTTAATTATTAAGATTATAATAATAATATACGTATGTAAAGATAGTAAGCAGCGTCGCTTCTATAATATATTATGTATAAATAGGATATTTTATGTACATTTCTATTTACTATTCACGTTACCACTATACTATTTTAATATAACGTCGCTTCTTGATGATTCAGTCTCCCTTCGTTTGTTTATGACCCAATTAACAAATAATTACCTGTTAATTCTATGTTTTACACTACATAACGTCATAACCACTAAGAAAGCTCCAGTACACCATGTTGATAACACTTATAAACAATCGCAACACTCACGTCAAGCAGTATGGCGTAATAAAGTTGAAACATATTCACTCCGAAAATGGCTGTAGTAGGTAAGAAGCTGTCAATCTATTATCAAAACGTTCGAGGGTTGCGGACTAAGTGTTTAGAACTTTATAATAGCTTGTTGTGTATGAACTATGATATAATCATACTCACTGAGACGTGGTTGCAAAATGATATATTGGATAGTGAGCTGTGTGACACCCGCTATGACATCTTCCGTTGTGACAGAGACCTTAGCTTATGCAACAAGTCGGGCGGGGGCGGGGTTATGATTGGCGTTCGTAGGTATCTGGGAGTAACTGTTGTGAATGAATGGACTAGTGATACCGCTGAATCTCTGTGCGTACGAGTGCCCGCATCTGAACTGTCATCCCAGGTAGACCTTTTTTTGATAGTGGTATATACACCGCCCGATCAATCCGGGTTCTCGTTACGTTTAGACAATGTTATTAATAACATTTCTAAGCAATTAGATAAATTCCCTAATGCTAATTATTTGTTGGTGGGAGACTTTAATTTACCGTGTGTGAAATGGGACCTAGATAAATATACAATATTAAAACAAGGTAGTAGTGACCTACAGAACTGTGCCGCGAATTTTATAGATCACCTTCACTTCCATGGCTACAGACAATATAATAACGTGTTAAACTCCAAAGGTAGATTGCTCGATCTTTGCTTCAGCAACCTGCCATTGGATGTTACGCGCTCAATTCAACCGCTTTTAAAGGAAGATAACTATCATCCAGCATTAAATATCAACATATTTGATCTAAACTGTCAGCATTTTAAGGAAAATATAAATACCCGTTATAATTTTTACAGGGGTGATTATGACTCTGCTAATAAATACTTGGCCGACATTAATTGGATGGAAGTCCTATCATGCGATACAGTGGATGAAGCAGTGGACAACTTTTATAATATACTGCAAGATTGCTGTACTCGTTTTATACCTCTCTCCAAATACACAGTTAGTAGGTCACACTATCCTATTTGGTACAATAAAACACTAATAAAAGTCATTAAGCAGAAAAATAAAATACACCAAAAATGGAAACGATTTGGGAATCCCAGGGACTATGATGAGTTTTGTGTGCTCAGGACTCGGTTTAAGAGATTGCAGGAACGGTGTTTTAGCGATTTCACAAGGAAAACAGAAAGTATTATTAGGCACTCACCTAAATATTTTTGGACGTACGTGAGTGTCATAAATGCGAAACTTTGATTTCGCTTAACTTCGGAACTAAATGACCTACAGACCTGAAATTTTGGATTTTAAGTCTGTGATTATAGCTTACTAGATGACGAAAATTTCTGCGTTCTGGTCTTATCCAGTGGTTCTCAAATAGGGGCCTGAAAATGCGGCGAAATGGTTCCAGTAAAGGATGGTACGGCAGTGTTTGCTTCGCGCTCGACTTGGCGGGGGCACTGCCGTGCCCCCAGATTTCTTTGTTTTGCGACGTATATATATTTTTACATACCAATATTTATCAATGTGTGTGTGGACTGGATCATTTAATACAACACTTGATCTTGCCAAACATATTATCATGGGGCAGTATAGGATTGTGGTCAGGTGTCTATATAAATTTCTATTTAAATTTCTTTACTGTTATTAACTTGATAGTTTAAGCAAAATTCGTTAATGCTGTGGATAACCTTTTTGGCCTAATTAGTTTAAGAAAAATATTTGATTTAAGTCTATTATATGTGTCGGCTGTTGTTATTCCAAATAAATAAATAAAATAAAAAAAAATAAAAGTATCGATACTTTAGGAGTACTTATTTAAGTAGTATCGAAAAAAGATTTGAGTATTATCGAAATGAGTAGGTATCGATACTTAGGTGGTATCGGAACATCCCTACCTGGGACCTCTGCGTTTGAAGCAGGTGGTCTTACCACTAGACCACAGAGGCGGTTTAATCTGAAGTCTCCCTGACGTTTGACCTTACAAAAACACCCTCCTATAGTCCTGTGCCGCTCCCATGCCTGTACGTACAACCCTACGATAGCGAGGTATGCCATGGGAAAATGAAAGCTATTTCACAGGCAATAGCATCATTTATTGAGATTCAAGCTAAGCTAATACTTGAAACTGGGTGGGCATACATTTCCATGAGGTATATAAAGCCAGAAAAAAAACAAATGTTAGCGCGAGCTAAAGGAGCACAGCGCCATCTGTTATCCCAAATAAGAAATAGATTTTACTACCCATTGCTCTTGGTGGACTTGCTTTTCACTTGACACTCAAACTTATACAATGCCTCGGGCACTCACTGAGCTAAGTGCTAAACCTATACCGATTTTATCGGTGCGAAATCGAATTACAGCCAAAATAAAATATAATTACGTTAATTGTTAATGAAAGTTAGGTTGAGCGTCCCTGCTCGAGTTAAGGGTTCGTTATAATTGAGTTAGTAATAATTAAGTACGGGCACAGTAAACGGAGTTACGCCAGACCATTCGAAAATACCTTTTTTTGCCTCTAGAAAATTCCTCTCTTGAAGTGGGGCACAAAATTATCTGCTAATGACTTGACCTTCACTGGTTGGGTTTTTATTGGCGGTCAAGCTGTAGATCCTGGCTACACAGGAGTTGCAGCGGTGGGAACGAGAGGTGGGAATAGTCCCGTATTCATTCAATGACATAACCCGATAGCAAGCTGAAGTGGCAATGGGAAAGTCACATAATAGTACGTAGAACTGACGGCTGATGGGGCAGCAAGGTTCTGGAGTGGAGGCAACGTACCGGAAAACACAGCGTGGACCGACGACCAATGGGTAACAGGAAGGCTCTGGATGCAGGTCGCTACCGATGTGGAAATCATTGGGGGACGCCTATGTTCAGCAGTGGACGTCCTGTGGCTAAAATGATGATGCTGAATTATTTTTATTTATACGTTATTTTTATACGATTTAGAGTAGGCGCACACCGTTGATTTTTAGTTGGCCGATAGTTGTGCCCGATTTTAAATTGTATGAAGAATCGGCCAAATCGAATCGGCGTAGTATGCGCACTCCCATACATGCCCATACTGATCAACTGCCCGACCAAACTATCGGCCGACGAAAAATCAACGGTGTACGCCTACTCTTAGACTGATAGTATAGCTAATAACAGGTTTCCCTTATTAAAAAGTAAGTACATTCATCATGATCATCATAATTTCGGCCACATGACGTCCACTGCTGAACATAGGCCTCCCCCAATGACCTCCACATCGCGACCTGAGAAAGGTAGCAAGAAGGAGCTGGATGCAGGCCGCTGCCAACCGTGCCATGTGGAGTAGGTACATTGTTGTTAGAAACAGCTTTTTTAAATGAAATGACCTGTCTGATTTTTTTTAAACAAACTACTTGAAAATATCGAACTGCCTAAGGAGGGACTCGAACCCAGTATCCGTGTCTAAGTAGCTCAGTTGGAAGAGCAGTCGCCCGGCAAGCGGAAGGCCGTGGGTTCAAGTCCCGCCTTAGGCAGATCGATTTTTCAAGTTGTTTATTTAAAATTTAGTTTGAGATAATACATTTTTAAATGACCTGTCTGTTCTCTTTAGGCTGTGAACGACTTGAAATACTTCGAGTATTGATTGATTGCTGTACACGCCTTTGCCGTATTGTTTTATGTTATTTAACTAGACGTAGTAACAGAGAATTAGAAATCAAGGCAGTGTGGTAAAAAAGATGATACAAATGAATGCCTTGCTAAAGTTATGAATGTATTCAAATACAGTGCTAGTATTTTGTACTTACTTTAATTATGTTACTTACATAGCTCATCATCATCATCATCTCAGCCATAGGACGTCCACTGCTGAACATAGGCCTCCCCCAATGCTTTCCATGTTACCCGGTTGGTAGCGGCCTGCGTCCGGCGCTTTCCTGCTACCTTTATGATGTCGTCAGCCCACCTTGTGGGTGGACGTCCCACGCTGCGTTTTCCGGTACTCGGCCTCCATTCCAGAACCTTGCTGCCCCATCGGGCGTCAGTTCTGCGTACTATGTGCCCTGCCCATTGCCACTTCAGCTTGCTAATCCGTCGGGCTATGTCAGCCACTTTAGTTCGTTTACGGATCTCCTCATTTCTGATTCGATCGTGCACCGAGCATAGCCCTGTCCATAGCACGCTGTGCAACTTTGAGCTTCTATATAAGGCCTATAGTGAGAGGCCACATACCCACGTTACTTAAATATTATATTAAGTTAAAAACAAAGTGTTACATAGTAGAATTTTTTAAATCTAATAAACAATATCAAAATTATGAATGCCCCAGCTATGAACAAACTAACTATCTATCTAAATATACATAACTCAAAGGTGACGGACTGACTGACTGACTGGCATAGTGATCTATCAACACACTGTCCAAACCACTGGACGGATCGGGCTGAAAGGCATGCAGGTAGATGTTATGACGTAGGCATCCGCTAAGAAAGGATTTTACGAAACTCCACCCCTAAGGGGGTAAAACGGGATCCACGCGTACGAAGTCGCGGGCGGCCGCTAGTTAGCCACATAAAAGTTCAACAAATACCTAGGTACTGTATAATATTAGACAGGCTTGTAGCTAGAAGCGATCTCTCCCAGACAACCACAAAAAAGTTGTTTTTAAACAC